CGGGAGCGCCGCCCCGCTCCCAAGCGGCGCACTGTAGCAGTGCGCCACCGGGCCGGCCCTATGTATTCTTATTTAGATGGATATTGTTTTCTGTGTTTCAGAAGCTAATTTAGATCTAAAGACTCTTACTTACCAAGATGATGCTTTAAAATGTAGCCCGAGGCTTAAATAAAACCATTATTTTCTCATATTCAGTCTTAGCCATACATTATCGGTATTGTGGATCTCATCACTAAAAGTGATTTGGGAAATTTGGCTCCATTCAGGACAAGAGTGAAAGATACAGAGCCTTGCCATCTTCTGGGTCACAAGTCTTTAAATCAGCTCCAACCTATATTTGGTGACCCCTGCCATGGTATAAAGCAGTAAAACTGTGATCCCCTTTGTCATTATCATGATGATGTTTTATTTTTTCTTTCAATGCTTTAAGTATTTCATTTCACTTTCTTTTTGCTTGCATGTCATAATGAGAAGTCTGCTGTAATTCTTATCCTGTATCTTTGTAATCGTGTGACCTTGCTAAACTTGCTTATTAGTTCTATTAGCTTTTTTGGTAGATTCTTTTGGATTTTCTATGAAAAGATTATTTTAATCTGCAAATTAAGACAGTTGTTGCCTATCTAATCTCTATGCCTTTAATTAATTATTTAAAAAATTTACTGCATTGGCTTTAACTTAAAAATGTGAACAGCGTGGAGCAAACTAACATCTTTACTTTGTTTCTGATTGTGGATGGTAGAATGCAAAATACTGCAATGGTGTTTTCATCAATAAAACAGTATAAAGGGAATGAATTCAATCTTTTAGTATTAAGTATAATGTAAGATGAGAGGTTGATTTTGTAGATGCTCTATATTAGAATAAGAAAGTTACCTTCTATTTCTAGTGTTCTGAAAATTCTTTTAATAAATGGTGTTAAATTTGTCAGGTGCATTTTTGGGACGATCACATGATATCTTTATTTTACTAATATGGTATATCACATTAATTGATTTTTGGATGTTAAAATAATCTTTCTTTCATGGAATAACCTCACTTTGTTATGGTGTATAATCCTTTTTATATGTTGCATTTATGTTCATGAGGAATAATAGTATGTAGTTTTTTTTTTTTTTCTTGTGATGTCTTTGTTTGGCTTTGGCATAGCATAATATTAGCCTGAGGTGAGAAATAGTTTTCTTCTGTAATATGAACAAAAATATCCTGAAGTTGAAATTGAACAAGCCTCAGAACCTCCATTATAATTTATAATGTACATTATAGATATGTAATATATATTAGATTATTATTTATATGTAGATATATAGTTAGTATATAGGTAGATAACCCAAAAAAATCTGCTCTGACCAGGTCAGTTAAATTATAGTGCCTTGGGAGACCTGGGATAAGTCAGTAGTCATGTCCACCTGTCCTGGAAAAATGTTGTAAGACCGTTTTTACTTAGATGCAGACAGGATGGCACCAGAAAGCCATAAAATAACCTAGAATGCTTTTGTGACCCTTACCTTAGATCCTTGCATGTAGGATGTAACCTAGTAACAATCCCAAGTGTATAGGTCATGTATAACCAGTAGAAAAACTGATGAAATAATTAGGCGGGGCTGTCTCTCTCTCTGCTTTAGTCCTTTCCCTTTTTTGTGATTATAAAATACTAAACTCTGCTGGCCCTCTTCAGAATGCATTTCTCAGGGCAACCTGATCTATGCGTCTCCCCAGCTGCAATCATCGTATTGGCTCAATAAAAACTCGCTATATGTGAAGGGGCACACAGATGAAGCACGCAAGACCCGGGCTAACAGTTCGCCAGAGAAGTTCCACTTTATTCAAGGACTGAGCGTACATTTATAGGGAGCTGCGTTCCGGGTTTGGATAGGGGGTGGACGGGGCGGTAGCTGATTGGATGGGGCAGGGCAGGAGGTGAGCCTTGACCTGTGACTGGTTGAGGTTTGGTGCTGGTGGGCTTCTACAGTGGAGAAGAACCCGGAAGGGCGCCATATTGCTAGGGAATGCTTTCCCCCTCCCCCTCCGCTTGAGTGCCCACGGTATCCTTACATTCCTCCCTTTTTCCTCTGTTGTGGGAATGGGTCACTGTGATCTTCGAGCTACTTCCTGCTGGATGGGGGCATAGTAGGGGAAAAGGAATTGGGGGGAGATTGGGGATTTTGTAACAGGACCCAAAAGAGGGTAGAGAATAAGATAATTTCGAAGGGGGAGAACTCTAGAAAGGTTCCCTGAAGCCACAGGTCGGTGATTTGTTGAGTCCAGTGTGTGTAGGAGGCTGTAGGGGAGAGCATCCAGGCATCCACATCCAAAGCTTCCAGGAACAGGGACCATCAATGAGGAAGGTCCATTTTAACAGCAGGTTAGCTGATCTGGTGAAGAGCGGGCAGGATCCTCGGTGGCCAGGAGCTGGTAGTTCCTAAGTAAAAGCTGGTTAAAAGTTTGGTTAGAAATTCTTCCGAGTTGAGTTTGAATGAATTTTATAATGCAGGGCAGAAAAAGACAGGCTATAAATATAACAGCAAGGGGTCCCAATATTGGCCATACCCAGGTGAGAAGTGAGCCTTGGAAAAAAGATGGAAAAAGATCAGGGCGGTTGCCTCTGAGGTCTGAGGCTAAGTTGGTGAGTTTGACAATATTGGTTTCTACTAGTCCTGATTCATTGATATAATAGCAACATTCTTCCCGGAGGAAGATACAAGTGCCGCCCTTTTCTGCCGTGAGGAGGTCTAATGCGCAGCGGTTTTGTAGAGTAACTTTAGCTAGGGAGGTGATTTGTCTTTGTAAGGCAGATAGAGATTCAGCTGTGGAGGTGAGGGCCTTTTGTACTTTGTTATTAACGTCTAGTACCGCCCATAGAGTATGTCCCAAGGCCCCACCCAACAGGCCAGTTGCAACAATTGATGCCATTAAGGACATTCTCACTAGGACTGGGAGAAAGACGGCTAGACGCTTTCTTGGGGGTGGATGGAAAAGGTGGAAAAGCTCTGTGTGGGAATATAAAGTTAGTTGGGGAACGAC